CTAATTTATCACTTAGCTAAACAAGTATTTCCTCTACTTGTCATCAATTTAAGTAATTAAAATGGTAAACTTTGCTATATGGCATGAAATAAAGGCCCAAAGATAATTTGGAGAAGGTGGTTGATACAGTCTAATAGAATGAATGCAAAGTATTATTTAAATACTTTGGTACGCTTCAGTAGTTTTCAGAAATGTCATATTCTGGTAGCTTTGCTGGTGCTGATAGAAACTGATTTTTATTTTTAGCATATCCAAGATTAAACAATGGTGTTCAGCTTCTTCCTCATAGTTAGTGGGTTCTCTTTTTCCTTTCTTTATGCATAAAATGTTTTGCTTTTTTGCTTGATTGTTTGGAGGTAAGAGAATGTCAGAGGGCAAGAGTGGGGCAAGGGCTGCAACCTGTGCAGTTCTTCAACCCTCATCCTAAGTACCTCCTCAAGCCTACAAATTCTCCCCTTCCATTTTACCACTGGGGGAAGAGAGGGGAAATGAATGTTATAAAAGCTTTGCTTAATTCTTTTTCACTTACTCAGTTACACCTTCAAAATATCCTTGGTGAGACTGATTATATTGTCTAATTTTGCCCAAACAACATGAATACTCTTCACTTCTTAAACATTAATTTTGATTTTTTTTGTGTGTGTTTTCTGCTTTGATTAAATCATTTTTCAAAGTCTGTGTAACAGTGATGATTAAGGGAAATGTGTTCAGTGTTTTTAGGGCTTTTTAGTGGAAATAATTTAGTCTCTATTTTTGAAATAATGGTTTGTATCCATAAACTGCTCCTTTGAATTCTGAATATTTGTATTCAGTGTCTGTGGCAAGTGAAGAGGTTAATGGATTCCTTATGACATGAAATTAGGTACAGTATTGATGTTCAACTGTGCTATGCTTTGCTTATGAAATACTGATTTATCAAAATTTTTGATATTAAGGTAGTCTTACCACTTGCTCTTGTGGTAGCAAGTAGTCTTACTGCTAAAAGAACTCTACAAGTTTGTTTTTATTTTTAACTTTTCATCTTCTTTCTGAACATTCATTACAATCAGTTTATTATATGAACATTTATTATAATCTTATTACAGATTACTCTGCTGTTTTGTATAGTTCCGGTTATAGTGGCATACATTTACATTTGTGTACGTGTTTTTGGCATGTTTTGCCCAACTCTGGTCCAAAAGTGACTGCTGCTTTACTGGAAGTGCAGTTAATGATAAAAGCATATCTCACTTAGACTTTCATCTTTGTCTTATATTTCTAGCTAGCTAGATATGACACGTATTAATGGCAGATGAACTATGGCTGAGTTGAGGCTGTTGACACTGACAGGCTGATGAAGAAGTGACTCTCTTTTTGAATTTTTTAAATTTAATTTTTTTAAGCATTTCAAACTCACAGGTGTGTATACAGGAAAAATGGCAATGCTGATGAAGGCATGACTGTTTAAGAAAGACTGAATTATGGCTACAGGTGGTAGAAATCATACAATGAGTTGGAGCAGCTAACAGGGGAGGCAAAATATTTTCAAACTTTTGGGTGAACAAACCTTCTCATATCTAAAAAAGAAGCAGCCAACTTCCAAGCCGAGTACTCAGAACAAGAAAAGTTCTCTGAGTTAGAATGGGTATGTTAAATCAGACTGTCTAATGGAACAAGTAGTTTCTCTCTGCTGTGTAGAAAGAGGTTATTAGTAAGATACATGTCAGTAAACATCAGTTAAGTTTTTCCTAATGGAAACAGATTGGTATTCTGTCACCTATGGAATATGGAGGAGGTCATGGGTAGAGAGGATGATGTGCTATAAGAAGGTATCTCCACAGAGCCCATTTGGTGGAGTTCTCTGTTGGAGTCCATAAGTGTGTCTATCAAGGGATTTTTTGGAATCCCTTGAGAACAGGCCCACTGGCAAACTGCTTTCACTGAAAGGCAGACTGAATTCACTCCTTGAGTGTTGATCAGAGAGGAGCAGACCTGTAGTGCTGTCCTTGGTGGAGCGTGAGGGCTCTCCCTGCTACTCAAGGACAGTAGCCAGACAAAGAGTTTATATGCTTGCCTTTTCCTCAGGCTCATGGGTGGATTAGTGTTTCTTCTAATTTCCCTAACTAGATAAATGTTTCATACCTAGCCTAAATTACTTTTTCATGTATATTAAAGAATAGCTGAACTCCCAGTGGTAGGAAGGGTGCCTGATGTTTAAGTTTTTTAGCCCTTTGTCTTTGGAGGTAAAAAAAAAAAAAAAAAGTAGGAATAGCTAAAAGAGTCACTTTCAGCTTTCACTGATATGTTAGGGTTAGCGAATATCAACTCTTGTAATCCAGTAATTGAATTTCAGATGTTTATAACATTTTTATTGTTTCACATTAAAAAAAGTTTTAAATTCATCTTATTTAATATGAACAATATGTTATAGGCCATTTCAAATCAACCACAAACCTGTAAAGAATTAATCTGTCTGAGAGTAAGATCCCAAGTGTAATCATAATTGTTTAATAGTTCTCTTTGCTCTTTGTTAGAAGAGCAGAAAAGAACTTAAGTATAAAACTGTAAAGAAAATTGCTTGGGCTAAGGAGTGACAAGACTAATAGGTAGTGATATTTTTTTTTTAACACTAATCATATGTATCTGTAAACAAACACAAGTAACTGATTAAATCACTGTGAATATCAAAAGTAAATCTATTCAGCTCTTTAAAACTGTTCTAACTATCTGTAAAGTAAATTATGGTTCTTACAGGCTGTAAAGGTATGGCATTTGGGGAGTATTTAAAAAAAGAGAAGGTGAATACAGAAGAGAAAGAAGAATATAGAAGAGCAAACTTACTAGGGCTAATTTGATGCTGTATTACAGATGTAAGACAATGTAAGTCTGCAGCATATTGTATCCTAACTAAGTGGCAGCTGCTAAAACTGCAGTGACTGGTAAGGCATTCTGTGCCTGGTTCCCAGTTTCAAAGGCACTTGGGGTTGTGCTTCGGTCAGATCATGTAGCAATGTCTGAAGAGCCATAAAAATAAAAAGTTCAACGCGGGCAGCACACATCAAAATAAGCTTGCCATTTTTGTGAAGACAGAATCAACAGATCAGTAGAAAGATATTTACAGTCATATTAGCAAAAGGAACAAGAGCAGCAGCTAAAATTCCAGAAAATTATTTCTGCAAAGTTGTTTTTTGTGGGTTTGTTTTGTTTTGTTTTGTTTTTTGGTTACCATTCATGCATTTTTCATTATTATAGTATATAAATTACATAGGAAACACACAGTGTGTATATGTATTCATAACACGTTTTGTTGAGCAATTCTGTGGTATAGTGGTCTGTTTTACCATATGATTGTATGATTGTGATAATTTGACATACAGGTATACCACTGCAAAAGTGTTAAGTCCTACTTTCCCTCAGTTCCTGGCTGCCAGTTCCCAAGATCTTAAGATGTTCTCCTCTAGCTAAAACGAAGTGAGGGATGATGGTGCAATCATTTCAACACCACACTAACATAGACGCCAGGGTAAATAAAGGACAAAACCCTCAGGGAATACAGCTGAGAGAACATCCTTTTGAAAACAACCTGGGTGCATTGGTTTGAAGGAAATTCCCAACAGAGGCCCAGCTAGGTTTGTTTTATTATTTAGGGTTTTTGGTTGCTTTTTTTCCCCACATAACTTACTAGAAAAATTAAGAAGATGAAGAGTATATAAAACTAAAAAGGTCTTAAGATTCCAAGTCCCCCTTCATTTATTGACAGCAGACCAAAGGTATAAAGCAAATATGGGCAATGCCATGCCTTCTAACAACCAAAGGAAAAACAAAATTGAAGTGATTTCGGATTTGGTAATATACCAGTCCTGAAAGTGTAGGTGCATACTTCTTTGTGTTTCTCTTTTTATATTTCTTTCTAAATATAATTTTATTGGTGTTAGAAAGTTATGATACTTGTAAACAAAGCAGTTACAGTAAGAGAAATTTAAAACTCGTGTGGCAGTCATAGGTAGTTATTTAGTGTGATTGGACAAATCAAACCTCTTTACCTGGCTTAGTTTCTTTGTGTTGGAAGTTAATAAATTGGTGTACAGTGTCTAAACTGCAGTCTTGACAAACGTACTCTTGCACTGTTAGTGCACTGGAAGGGTTGCTCCTCCTTCTTACTGCTCTGATCATAACATCATCTGCTTTTCACACTTTTATTGTCATCCTCTTATTTGCTGCAACCAATATTAACTTATAACACTCCTCATGTGAACTTCTAACACAGTTCTTGTTCAGTTGCTTGATAATGATGTGACTGCCATTCAGGAACCTGTGACAATTGATCCCCATCACCTACTTCCTGAGGTTTCAGTTTTGTCCTTTCTTGACCTTCATTTTTTTTGAAATAGCATATTTGTAAATATTTATCAACTAGTTGATTTTGTTTCTTCAAATGTTTCCTTAACACTTTCTAAAAAGCTACTATAAATCTTAATAAAATTAAAATCACCTATTGTGCCAGTCAGTATTATCCCATTCTCTCCTTACATGTGTCTGTCTCTGTTATCTTATACTTGACTCACGATTACTGAAAAAGTAAGTGGTTAAAAGGAAGCTTTTCTGGGATTAGAGGTCTTGGGTCTAGACCCAAGAGTGATGATGATGGGTCTTACCTCAGTTTTACTCTATAATCTTCATCATGCCCAAGAAGTAGCATCAGTTCTCTTTGGAATCAGATTAAAAGATGCACTGGGGAAGCTAGAAAAAGGATGCACTGGGGAAGCTAGAAAGAGACTCTTGCCGTGCTTTACAGTCTGCCAAAGCCACACTTGGATTTTTACTTCAGTGTGATAGTGGGAAGTACTGTAACAATTTTTTTAGACTCCAGGTAATAAAATATTTGAGTGGAAACACTGTTGTTTTGCTGTTAGACAACTAATGATGATGATATGCCCAGAAAATATGGAAAAATCACTTGTGTAATTGAAAAATAGCTAAAGGAATACTGAAGTGTTTGTTTCTCGTTTTTTTTCCTCCAGATAAATACCCTTCAGTTGGAATTTACTATTGCCAATATGTATCATTCTGCATCTGAAACCAGTCACCCTTTGCAACCAGAGGAACAGGAGATAGGCATTGATCCCTTGCAGAGTTTTTTGAACAAGCCAGGGGAAGGTGAGTTTTGTATTTCTGTACTTTTTTGGACTTTATGCCTAGAAACCTGATATAAGTTTGTCATGATAACTGTACCTGTCATAATTTGTTTAATTCTCTGAATGGAGTTGAGTAGGGCAACTTAAAGAACATTTCAGACAGTATGTGTAGAACACTCTGACACTAATGAAAACCACGGAAAGTCAACTTTCAATTACAGACAGAAACATTAGCCAAATGTTTAATGCGCTGTCATCCTTTTTTAATCATAAACCAAACACTGACTTCAGCATAAGAATATTGAAATGCAGCATGGCTTTATGTTACTTTCTCGAGCATGGGCTCTTATACTCCCTTGGCTTTAGGGATTTCTTTTGGGATTTTTGTTGTTATTGTTGGTTTTGGTTTGGTTTTTTTTAATTCTGCAACAAAGTTCAGTATGCTGCTTTGGATGAGATGAAGCAAGTAAAAAGCCTGATTTTTTGTTTAACTCAGCACCTATATTCTTATTCGAAAAAATACCTCAAAGTTGAGATAGAATGAACATACTCTAAAGGTAGAAATTACTATGTAATTTACTAAAGTAAATTAATTAAATGCAGTATTTGGGAGACAATAGTGAACAGTGAGAAAAAACTGCTCGGATAATGCAATGCATGTCTGTGTTGCTTGTCTTTTCTACTTATTTGCTAGTAGTGACAGTATAGTTGGTTCGAAGAAAGTGATAAGCTTAATGAGAAAGCTCGTCCTTGTCATGAAAACATTCCTCAAGTACTCAGTTATACACAGTGGCACCTTAACTACCTGTAATTTTCCAGTCATTGAACACATGTATCAGGAGGGCAAAATAAAAAATTTATTTTAAATTACAGAGTTGAAACAACTTTGTCACATTTTTTAAGTCCCTCACCCAGATGAACTACTCTGTGTGGGTGTATCTGTCTATAAATCTTCTGTTTACTAGTGCTTATTAAAAAGCTTTGTCAAGTTTTGCTCAGTCAGGTTTATTACATCAGTTTAGAAGAAGCTGATGTTTTGCTTTAAAATATGCTGGTAAAACTTCATTGTCCCTTTGAGTTAATCTTTTCACTATTTCTTCATTGGTTTGTAAAGCTTTTTTCAATGTTAGAAAATGAGAATGAACATCTAGGGGAAAGTATTTTAAAACCTGACGATTAAATGAAATAGCTTTTCTAGGTCAGTGTTTCTTTTCTATTATACTTGACATCTTAACGATATGGAGCCATTTTAGTCTGATAAACTAAATGTATTTTTGTAAATATTTTTAGAAACTTGAAAATAATCTTTTGCAATAACCTAAAATAATAAGTTGGAAAACCAGCTTGCTTCTAATCTACCCCAGTCAGGAGAAAGATAAGCATTTTCTCCTGATTTCTATTTTCCTTAAAAAAAATATTGGCAATTCTCTCAACTCTGTTACAAGAAAAAAACAAGATTTTCACTCTGTTAAAAAACCACTGTAAATTAATTTTACCCTTTATTGTGCCCAGAAGCAATTAGTTACCTTGACTGAAAAGGTTTCTCATTTTTATCCCAACCTTAACATTTCTATGACATACAAAGTTATTAGGATTGAATTGATGTTTAAAAGTGCCATTAATTCATTTACCCCAAATGTTCATTAACAATGTAAATGTATGCTGATGTTCTATGAGACAAGGAAGTGACTAATGACTCTTCGCACTAACAACACTTAAAATGAATAGAAACTTTAGATAGCTAATCTTGAAGTAATCAAGACCCTCATTCAGCTTGGCATCTCTGTATGCTCTAAAACAGCTGTCAACTGTTAAAAATATATACACAACACACACATACGCACATGCAAAGATAAAGATATGTAAATACATGGTTCCCCAAGTCATAAAGGTTACCAACTATGGTACATTTTTTATGTTCTATCTATGTAAATATTTTATATAAAGCATCCATTTCATCTTCATAGGCTTTTTTGCTGTGAAACACATAGTGCATTTTAATTTGAAACTTTATATATCCAGAATAAGTCTCTGAAGTTTTAATGTTTCATTTTAAGTAAAGCATATGCTTAGTTGGTGTTAGGTCTTTAGGCATCAAAGTATACAGTCGTTCCTGTCTGTGCAGTCTGTCCATCGTTGTCTTCACAGAAGTATTTCAAGACAAGGTTCTTCAATGCAGCCTCAAGTTTCAGGCATGATACAGAATCAGCTTGGTGTAAATCTGTATATAAGTGTTTTGTATCATGGATCACAGAAATACGGTGGAGATGTGGTCTCTCAGAGGTGTTCTGTGCAATACTGTGGAATATCAGGACATCTGAATTGGTTTTTCGAAGCTGTGCTAGATGCTTAAATACTATCTTGGAGGAAAAGCGATAGAAGCTTTCACTGAGATGAGGTGATTAGAAAAAAAACATGGCACTGGTAAGGGTGCTGAAAATAAATATTTAATTACAGAGCAAGTGAGATTTGTTAATCTTCATGAAGTATTGTATTTTTAGTATGTACAACTGATACCAAAACTTGATGGAAAACCAGGAGATGTCATGTCCAGCTGGAGTTCTGAAATTCTCTCACAGTTTTCATAGAATGAAAGAAATCTCAGAAATACATGGACTGCCCTTATGTATAGCTGTTTGGAAAACTACATGCATAAGCTACGTTTTGTTCATTTGCTGTCAGCTTGGAAGCATATATTGTGTGGTATTCCCGAAATACGTTGGTTGAGTCTAGTAATACTCAGTGCTTTTATTAAAATCTCAGTGAATGGATAGGGAGAAAACATGGGGGGTTTTTGGGACAGGACTGTTAGCACAATGGAGAGCACATAAAATTCAAAGCATTCTTGAGATTTTGGAGAAGTGACCTGAGAAGAATAAGACTTGGTTCACTAGGAACAGCTGCAAAGATTAATGTTGCAAATGTTAGGCAGGAGTCACTTACCTAGCTGAACAAATGAAAGTAGATCATTACAGATGAGGTAAGTGTCATTTGGAGAAAGATCTGGGCATTTGTAGCTCTCCAAATTTTGTGGAACTGATGAACTTTGAATCCTGAGTTATGATGAGTTGTGAGAATGTGCTTGTTTACAAGTTTAAAAAATTCAGGATAAGCCAGTAACTGTAGAGATCTTTTTTCTATCCCTTTAAAATATTCAAAAAAACCCCAGTTAAGATAGTATTTTAGTCCTTTTTCTGTTGATTGATTTGGCTTATTAATTGTCCTGTTATTTTCTTTGTGTCATGATTTTTTTTCAAGATGCAAAATATTTGCATTGCATATACACTTATATATGCTTTTTTAAATACCATTTTTAAATAGTTAAGAAACAGATAAGAAATTGATGTCAGGGATTCTCACTTTTGCAATCTGATATTTCAAATGGGAGATTTTAGTTCTTTTAAGAAATTTTAATTTTGGGTTGTTTCTTGTGGATCTGGTTGTATTTTAATTTAGTTTCACATATGTATATGTGCATTATTATGTTTCCTTTTGACTGTAGTAGGCTGATGACATCTTGTTGCATTTTCTGTTCTAAGAATCCTCACGGTATTATTCACGTTGTTCTAACAGAATTTTTGAATGTTCCCTTTTGAAACAGAGATCGATCTCAGAGAAGCCGATGAATCTTAGCTCACTGTGTCTCGAGCAGAGACTTTATAAGCCCTAAATTTATGAAATTTCAGAAACTTTATTCTTGTACTTCTTGTGTATTGCATCTGACAAACTGTTTTGCTCATCCCCAAATGCTTGAGGTTTATATTGCACTGAAATGGGATAACTAACTAGGTTAACTGTTTCTGAGCTGCTGTAATTTTTTACTGTTAAGTTATAGTGTTTGCCACATTCTGACACAAGTTTTGAAGAGCATAGTAGGTAGTATTCCCATTTCATTGATGTAATGAGAAAGTTGATCCTCTAAGGACAGACTTGAACAATGCATTTAATACTCTTCAATTTAATTTGCTCAATATCACAATTAATACAATTAAGGTCACTTGAAATGAAACTATTAACGAATTGGGTAATTTACTTTAACAATGTCAGTGTGTTCTCACAATTACATTTGCTTTAATTAGTGTACAAGCTATTATTTAATAGCATACTTCACATAGAAAAATGTAATGTGTTCTTTGTTCTTAATAGAAGAAAAGGGGAAACCTTTAATGGGTCTGAGTGGTTTGGATTTGGAGTTTGGGGGGATATATTTCATGTCTAAAGGCTATAGCTGGTGGTGAGGACAGAGAAGGCTGATGTAGCTGGAAGGACAAAGATAATGACTGGAGTGTATGACTGAAATTAATCCAGCTGAGACAGATAAGTTGCCCAGCTCATACTTACATACCATTGCATCCCTCCTGATTCTGAAGGCTGGCATAAAAAAATACGAAATTTTAAGAGAACATTCATATTTCCGTTGTGACCATATTCTGTGTGTTTCCGTTGCTTGTCTTTGGACAATTATGCTTTCTACTGTTAACCTCATAATCCTGATCGCTACAAAGTATTTCCATGGAGAACTATCCCTCAGGTGGAATTCAAGATACCTGGTTTATATTGGTGTCATACAAGAAACATGTGAAAAACAGAGGGGAATGAAGTAATAAAGTAAATGCTGTCGTCTCCGGACCTAACCAGGTAATGATAGCATATTATTTGTGCAATCAAATAATTTCCCCAAATCTTAAGTGTAATTCACATGGGACTGTTTTGGTTGTGGGCACATCCTTTCACATTCATTCCAGAGTTAAGTGAATTTTTGCTCTCAGCAAATTGTATTATCTCCTAATTAGTCCATAGCTATTCAGTGCTATGAGTTGGGTTTTTTTGCCCTTACAACCCCTTTCACTCAGGGAGGCAACGCTAATGCGGATTGCCCTGTATGGTGTTTATTTGTTTCTTTTTTTAGAGATAATTTAATTTAAAGGAGACAGCCACAGAGGTCTGCATCTCTCTGTGTGAGAAGTACTTTCCTAGGTAAAAGCAATTGAGAATGCAAATATAGTGAGTTCTTGATGCCTT